GTCCCCCCCGTGTTGTCCCCCAGCTGATGTACATGCACTGGATGAACACCATGGTGGGCTACTGCGGCCCCTTCAAGTACGAGAGCGAGTACTGCGAGAAGCTGCGGGGCTACCTGGAGGCCAACCTGGGCTGGATGGAGGAGCAGATGGGCAAGGGGCAGGACCCCGAGTACTGGCACCAGGTGAGGATGGGGTACCCCCCCCACCCCCGGGCTAATTAGGGCTTTAATCAAGAGGAAAAAGGCAGCGAGAGCACCCCTGGGTGCCGGCCGGGCTCCAGGAGGGGTGATGGGGATGTGGGCCTCATGGATCCTCCTCCCCTGGGTGAGCAGAGGTGACTCGTGACCTTCTCACGTGCCACTTTTGGGGCGCACAGGGGGTGGCTTGACCTCCCCCCCCTCCTCCTTGGGCCACCAGTGCTGAGTCACAGCCCTGCTGGCACTGACACTTCCCCCCCCCCTTCCCGGCGTGTCTTCTCCTGTCTCTGCAGCAGCACCGGCACCCACCGGATCTGCCGGCCCCCGAGGGAAGGGGGGAGCCCCTTCCTCCCCCCAAAATCCCTCGCCCCTCTTTCCTGAGTGCCAGCTCTGTCCCCTGTCCCCCCCCCCGGCCCTGCTGCAGCTGAAGGGGCTGGAGGACAGCTACAACGGGCGCCTGGACTTCCCCCGGGGCAGGTTCACCCTGTCCCCCTTCGGCTTCCTGTAAGCTCCTTCTTGGAGGAGATGGGGGGGTGGTCACCCGAGAGGTTGGGATGCTGCTGGGGGGGTCCACAGGGACCATTCCTGGATGTCCAGTTCTGCTCCTCTCCCCCATCTCCTCTGGGTGCTTGTCCTCTGCTGCTGGGGTGGGATGGAGCCAAGGTGGGTTCTCCTCCTCCCTGGCACCATGATCTGGGTGCCCCCCCCCCCAGCCCGCTGTAGCCCCCCTGCCTCAGTTTCCCCACTGCTGCCCAGGTCCTTGTGTCTGCCCTGGGGGGGGATGGAGAAACACCCTCCAGCCCAGACAGACGGATAGAGAGCTCAGACCCAGCTTGGCTCCTGGACCAGGTTGTCCCCAACCTGATACCCCGTGTCTCATGTCCCCCCCTCAGCCTGCTGCAGTTGGGGGGTGACCTGGAGGACCTGGAATCTGCCCTGAACCGTTCCTCCCCCCGGCGCGTCCTGGGCTCGGGCTCCTGCTCTGCCCTCCTCAAGCTGCTGCCGGGCCATCGGGATCTCCTGGTGGCCCACGACACCTGGACCTCCTACCAGTCCATGCTGCGCGTCATCAAGAAGTACACGCTGCCCTTCCGCACCTCGCCCGGCGGTGCGTGGGCTGGGCTGGGGGGGCTGCATCTGATGTCCCCCCCCCCTTTCTGATGCTTCCCTGCTTTTGCATCCCCTCCTCCAGGCAATTCTCAGATCCCCGGGAGCATCCAGGTGTTTTCCTCCTACCCCGGCACCATCTTCTCTGGGGATGACTTCTACATCCTCAGCAGCGGGTTGGTGAGTTGGGGGAGGAATGGGGGGGTCTGGTTCCTGGGGACCCCCCCACTTCCCTCCCCATCGCTCCCCCTCCTTGTAGGTAGCGCTGGAAACCACCATCGGGAACAACGACCCGGCGCGGTGGAAGTTCCTGGACCCCCGGGGCAGCGTCCTGGAGTGGCTGAGGAACATCGTGGCCAACCGCCTGGCCCGCAGTGGTCCCGAGTGGGCCACCATCTTCCGGCGGTTCAACAGCGGCACGTGAGTGGGGGTGGGATGTGGGGTGGGAATGCCCCTCTGGATGTCCCGGGAAGGACGTGGGATGGGGAGAGACCAGCTGCTGGAGGGATGCTCTCCCCCTTTTCTCCACGCCAGCTACAACAACCAGTGGATGGTGGTGGACTACAAAGCCTTCACGCCGGGGAGAGCCACCCCACCGCCGGGGCTGCTGACCGTGCTGGAGCAGATCCCGTGAGTGTCCCCCAACATCTCCTCTCCCATCCCCGGGGGCTTGGGGACACCCTAGGGGTCCCGTCCCCCCCAGCCAGGGTGGGAGTTGGGCGATGGGGATGCCAACACCGCCCGTCTGTGGGTAAAGGCTTCCCCTGGATGGTGGGAACTCAGCAGTGGGGACCCCCAGCAGGGTGTCCACCCTTCCCAGCATGCCCCCCTCCTCCATCCCTGCTGGATTTTCCTGATGCTCTTCCTTCCCGGCGCAGGGGCCTGGTGGTGGCGGCCGATGAGACGGAGCTGCTCTACCAGCAAGGCTACTGGGCCAGCTACAACCTGCCGTGAGCTCCTTCCAACCTCAGCCCACCCCACCGATGCCCCATAAAGGGGGACAACCGATGCTGGCCTTGTCCCCTCAACCTTTCCCTGCCCCACTGCTGACTCGCTGGCTTCCCCCCCCCCACCCTTTCTACCCCAGGTTCTTCGAGGAGATCTTCAACGCCAGCGGGAACCCGGAGCTGGTGAGGAAATACGGCGACTGGTTCACCTACGACAAGAACCCGCGCGCCCAGATCTTCCGCCGCAACCAAACATTGGTCCATGACCTGGACTCCATGGTCCGCCTGATGCGGTGGGTGCCGGGGACCCCCTCCCCACCAAAAACCTTGAAAACCTGGGTGTTCCCCTCCATCAAGCTGGAGGGGAACAGATTTAGATTGGAGATTAGGAGAGGGTTCTTCACTGTGAGGGTGGTGGAGCACTGGAACAGGTTGCCCAGGGAGGTGGTTGAGGCCCCATCCCTGGAGATACTCAAGGAGAGGCTCGACGAGGCCCTGGGCAACCTGGTCTAGTTGGGGGTGTCCCTGCTGACTGCGGGGGGGTTGGACTAGATGACCTTTGGAGGTCCCTTCCTGCCTGGGCAATTCTATGATTCTATGATTTGCAACCCTCGGGGGTGTTTTTTTTTCATCCGTCTAAATTAATCTCTATTTTATTTTATTTTTACCCCCTCACCACTCTCCCTTGGCCGCTTTGCAGCTCCAACAACTACCTGCAGGACCCGCTGTCGCGGTGCCGGGGCTGCGACCCCCCCCAGAACGCGGAGAACGCCATCTCTGCCCGCTCCGACCTCAACCCCCCCAACGGCACCTACCCCTTCCCGGCCCTGCGCCAGCGCTGCCACGGGGGCACCGACATGAAGGTGGTGGTGATGGTGGGACACCACCAGGGCAGCCCCGGTGGGGGGCTGGATGTCCCTGGTTGCCCCTTCCTCATGCTGACTTGGGTTTTTTTTCCTTCCCCATCACCAGGTCACCTCCTGGGGCATGGCCCCCACCTTCGGGCTGGTGGCCGCCAGTGGTCCCACCTGGGATGATGTCCCCCCCTTCCGCTGGAGCGTGTCCCCCTGCAGTGCTCTGCTGCACATGGGACACCCCGACCTCTGGACCTTCCCCCCCATCAAGGTCCACTGGGACTGAGCCTTGGCTGAACCCGTCCATCCATCCGTCCGTCTGTCCGCCCACCCACGGGCATCTATCCTGCGTGGGGGGGACCCCTTTTTGGGGGGCAGCTGGGTCCAGGGGGACTGGCTTTGGGTGCACGGGGGGGTCTCCTCCCCCCCTGGCTCTTTCTGCTTCTGCCTCTTGCTGCCACATCCCCGCGGTGCTGGTTGTGCCCCCCGCCCCGGGGCCGTGCCCCCCTCCCCGCCGTGGGGCCCCAGGGCTGGAGCCTCGTTTTTTGGGGGGGCTTCTCCCCAAAAGATGATGGGGGTGTCTCCTGGGAGGCTGGGGCTCGCCCGTGGGGCAGAGAGGAGGGGAGCGAGCTGGTTTGGCTGTGACAAATAAAGGCGTTTGCGTGCAGCGGTGGTGGTGGCTGTGCTTTGGGCTCTGCTGAGATTCTCTGGTGTCTTGTATAAGGGTTGGGCTCACGCAGGGCCCCTTCCTCCCCCCAAAATCCCTCGCCCCTCTTTCCTGAGGGCCAGCTCTGTCCCCTGTCCCCCCCCCCCGCAGGTGCGGCTGGCCCTGCTGCAGCTGAAGGGGCTGGAGGACAGCTACAACGGGCGCCTGGACTTCCCCCGGGGCAGGTTCACCCTGTCCCCCTTCGGCTTCCTGTAAGCTCCTTCTTGGAGGAGATGGGGGGGTGGTCACCCGAGAGGTTGGGATGCTGCTGGGGGGGTCCACAGGGACCATTCCTGGATGTCCAGTTCTGCTCCTCTCCCCCATCTCCTCTGGGTGCTTGTCCTCTGCTGCTGGGGTGGGATGGAGCCAAGGTGGGTTCTCCTCCTCCCTGGCACCATGATCTGGGTGCCCCCCCCCCAGGCCCGCTGTAGCCCCCCTGCCTCAGTTTCCCCACTGCTGCCCAGGTCCTTGTGTCTGCCCTGGGGGGGGATGGAGAAACACCCTCCAGCCCAGACAGACGGATAGAGAGCTCAGACCCAGCTTGGCTCCTGGACCAGGTTGTCCCCAACCTGATACCCCGTGTCTCATGTCCCCCCCTCAGCCTGCTGCAGTTGGGGGGTGACCTGGAGGACCTGGAATCTGCCCTGAACCGTTCCTCCCCCCGGCGCGTCCTGGGCTCGGGCTCCTGCTCTGCCCTCCTCAAGCTGCTGCCGGGCCATCGGGATCTCCTGGTGGCCCACGACACCTGGACCTCCTACCAGTCCATGCTGCGCGTCATCAAGAAGTACACGCTGCCCTTCCGCACCTCGCCCGGCGGTGCGTGGACTGGGCTGGGGGGGCTGCATCTGATGTCCCCCCCCCCCTTTCTGATGCTTCCCTGCTTTTGCATCCCCTCCTCCAGGCAATTCTCAGATCCCCGGGAGCATCCAGGTGTTTTCCTCCTACCCCGGCACCATCTTCTCTGGGGATGACTTCTACATCCTCAGCAGCGGGTTGGTGAGTTGGGGGAGGAATGGGGGGGTCTGGTTCCTGGGGACCCCCCCACTTCCCTCCCCATCGCTCCCCCTCCTTGTAGGTAGCGCTGGAAACCACCATCGGGAACAACGACCCGGCGCGGTGGAAGTTCCTGGACCCCCGGGGCAGCGTCCTGGAGTGGCTGAGGAACATCGTGGCCAACCGCCTGGCCCGCAGTGGTCCCGAGTGGGCCACCATCTTCCGGCGGTTCAACAGCGGCACGTGAGTGGGGGTGGGATGTGGGGTGGGAATGCCCCTCTGGATGTCCCGGGAAGGACGTGGGATGGGGAGAGACCAGCTGCTGGAGGGATGCTCTCCCCCTTTTCTCCACGCCAGCTACAACAACCAGTGGATGGTGGTGGACTACAAAGCCTTCACGCCGGGGAGAGCCACCCCACCGCCGGGGCTGCTGACCGTGCTGGAGCAGATCCCGTGAGTGTCCCCCAACATCTCCTCTCCCATCCCCGGGGGCTTGGGGACACCCTAGGGGTCCCGTCCCCCCCAGCCAGGGTGGGAGTTGGGCGATGGGGATGCCAACACCGCCCGTCTGTGGGTAAAGGCTTCCCCTGGATGGTGGGAACTCAGCAGTGGGGACCCCCAGCAGGGTGTCCACCCTTCCCAGCATGCCCCCCTCCTCCATCCCTGCTGGATTTTCCTGATGCTCTTCCTTCCCGGCGCAGGGGCCTGGTGGTGGCGGCCGATGAGACGGAGCTGCTCTACCAGCAAGGCTACTGGGCCAGCTACAACCTGCCGTGAGCTCCTTCCAACCTCAGCCCACCCCACCAATGCCCCATAAAGGGGGACAACCGATGCTGGCCTTGTCCCCCCCCCAACCTTTCCCTGCCCCACTGCTGACTCGCTGGCTTCCCCCCCCAACCCTTCCCACCCCAGGTTTTTTGAGGAGATCTTCAACGCCAGCGGGAACCCAGAGCTGGTGAGGAAATACGGGGACTGGTTCACCTACGACAAGAACCCGCGCGCCCAGATCTTCCGCCGCAACCAAACATTGGTCCATGACCTGGACTCCATGGTCCGCCTGATGCGGTGGGTGCCGGGGACCCCCTCCCCACCAAAAACCTTGAAAACCTGGGTGTTCCCCTCCATCAAGCTGGAGGGGAACAGATTTAGATTGGAGATTAGGAGAGGGTTCTTCACTGGGAGGGTGGTGGAGCACTGGAACAGGTTGCCCAGGGAGGTGGTTGAGGCCCCATCCCTGGAGATATTCAAGGAGAGGCTCGATGAGGCCCTGGGCAACCTGGTCTAGTTGGGGGTGTCCCTGCTGACTGCGGGGAGGTTGGACTAGATGACCTTTGGAGGTCCCTTCCTGCCTGGGCAATTCTATGATTCTATGATTTGCAACCCTCGGGGGTGTTTTTTTTTCATCCGTCTAAATTAATCTCTATTTTATTTTATTTTTACCCCCTCACCACTCTCCCTTGGCCGCTTTGCAGCTCCAACAACTACCTGCAGGACCCGCTGTCGCGGTGCCGGGGCTGCGACCCCCCCCAGAACGCGGAGAACGCCATCTCTGCCCGCTCCGACCTCAACCCCCCCAACGGCACCTACCCCTTCCCGGCCCTGCGCCAGCGCTGCCACGGGGGCACCGACATGAAGGTGGTGGTGATGGTGGGACACCACCAGGGCAGCCCCGGTGGGGGGCTGGATGTCCCTGGTTGCCCCTTCCTCATGCTGACTTGGGTTTTTTTTCCTTCCCCATCACCAGGTCACCTCCTGGGGCATGGCCCCCACCTTCGGGCTGGTGGCCGCCAGTGGTCCCACCTGGGATGATGTCCCCCCCTTCCGCTGGAGCGTGTCCCCCTGCAGTGCTCTGCTGCACATGGGACACCCCGACCTCTGGACCTTCCCCCCCATCAAGGTCCACTGGGACTGAGCCTTGGCTGAACCCGTCCATCCATCCGTCCGTCTGTCCGCCCACCCACGGGCATCTATCCTGCGTGGGGGGGACCCCTTTTTGGGGGGCAGCTGGGTCCAGGGGGACTGGCTTTGGGTGCACGGGGGGGTCTCCTCCCCCCCTGGCTCTTTCTGCTTCTGCCTCTTGCTGCCACATCCCCGTGGTGCTGGTTGTGCCCCCCGCCCCGGGGCCGTGCCCCCCTCCCCGCCGTGGGGCCCCAGGGCTGGAGCCTCGTTTTTTGGGGGGGCTTCTCCCCAAAAGATGATGGGGGTGTCTCCTGGGAGGCTGGGGCTCGCCCGTGGGGCAGAGAGGAGGGGAGCGAGCTGGTTTGGCTGTGACAAATAAAGGCGTTTGCGTGCAGCGGTGGTGGTGGCTGTGCTTTGGGCTCTGCTGAGATTCTCTGGTGTCTTGTATAAGGGTTGGGCTCACGCAGGGGTCTTCTTCCCCCCCTAAATTCACGGGGTGCTCTCTGCTTCTCCGCTGCCTCCCAGCCCTGGTGAAAGGGGGTGCAGCCAGCCAGGTCGGGCTCTTTTTGGGGTGCAGGCTCCTAAATTTTCTCTGCTGCTTTATCAGGCTGGGTACCCGGTGTGGGGCAGAGCTGCTGCCAACGGGGGAGCCCGGGGTGTGGGCTGGAGGAGGGAAGTCCCACCACTCACCCCCCAGGATGGGGTGATGGTCCTCAATGCTTTTGTCTTCTCCTCTTCTGCCACCTGTGTC